AGTTGATGCACGACGAGAAAAGTCAAAACGGTACATTTTAATTTAATAGTATTGGAACTTAATTCAACATGAAGTAACTACTTTATACAGACTTATCAATTGACTTTGGGTATATGTGTATATGTGCATGACCAAGGTGTGTTAAATAAATCATAATAAAATTAAAGAGGATTTGATCAAATATTGCATATTATTCGTTTTGTTGTCAAAATAATAAAATGATGATATTAATTATCGTGCATAAATACAAATGTATAAATAAGGAAACAACAAGGAATAGATATGGTTATTAAAATGGAATTTGGACAGACCAAAACCTTGTTAAGTCCATATTTTGTGAATATCATTGTTCTGTATATTTTTTAATTAAAATTAAAGGCATTAATAGAAATATGATTTAATATTAATAAGATTTTCACGAGTAACATTATATGAATGTTTGAATTATTTTTTTACTGAAAAAAACAACAATTTCAGAACTGTATTCAGAAATTACGGAACAAAAAATGTACTTTTTTTGGTAATAATGTGCCAATTGTTTTTTGTTTTCGAGAACTTCGCTGTAACAATCTTCATGATAAAATGTCATAAAAATGATAGTCATTTTGTTAATTAGATCCTAAAATAATGTGTGATATAAGTCTATCTTAGTTTTTTGTGAACTATGCGAAGTTCTTAAATTATTCTGGTATCATTGTTAATATAAATAATGTACTTTAATCTTAATATATTATGTAGTTTCACTTTTTCAAATTATATTTATTCGACTCTTAGAAACGATAAAGCAAGTATACTAGTTAAAGATATTAAATTATTTATTATTATTAATCTAAAATTATGTTTAATGTACGGAACTTGTGCTAAATGAGTGTTTTTTAATATATTGTACCAAAGCGTGGGAAATTACAAATTCTATGTCAATGAAACAAATTTGTTTCACTTTTAGAAATGTGAAATTTTAGATGACGAAAAATTATTTTTCAATTTTAAATCAAAAAATAATTAAATAATGTTCATAGTGAATGTGAAAATACATTATAATTGATATTTTGACACAGGTTTCAGTATTGCTTGTAAAATATCCAGTTGGAACTATGTTGTATCACTTTAATAAATATATTTTAGCATGTTAAGTACACTCTACATGTAAAAAAATAATTGAACTTCGCCGCGGAAAAATCTAAATAGGTATTGGTAAAATATCGTATAACGAGTGACGCCGCTGACTTCACCGAACGAACACCAAGCCGTGTGAACCAGAAGATTCCTGATACCATACAAGTAATGGAGTGGCGTTCTCATCTTAACATCGGGGCAATCATGTAATTTATGTTATATGTTATAAGTTTTAATATGTAATTCGTATTGTAATATACATATAAGTATGTTAATCGTAGTTTTCCTGGAACCTCCAGTTACCATCCTATATAATTAGTAGGTACGTCAAAAATGCAAATATTTCTTTTAAACGTAGTTAATTCTAGCAGTAATTCGGGCAGTTGTTACTAAAATCATTTTAACTTTTTGTATGCATACAAGTATCATTACTGTTATATTAATAGTAAACAATACTTCCGAAATGTCAAAGCACAAGTAAAGATATACAAAGACTGGCTTTTAAACACAGTATAGCCTATACTCCTATAGGTTCAACATCTTGTGTTACACATATGTATGTGGGCTATCTATGGCAGTACTGATTTTAGATAAAATTACTGACCACGATTTTTATCAAAAATCTCATTTACTGAGATGTCAATGACTACACTAGTACCATGTTTCAGTATTATATAAAATAAAATTTAAATTTAAAGATACGGTTTTGCTATTGTTAAATCCAAGACACAAACAATTTTATCTCGTCTGACCGTAATCACAGTTGCTGCAAAGTAACCGTAAGTATTGAGTACGAGGTTAACAATTTTTTTTATATCATAGGGGGCAAACGAGTAGGCTAGCCATCTGATGGTAAATGGTCATCGCCGCCTATGGACACTCGAGGAGCCTGAAGGCACCAAAGTGTGTTGCCGGCCTTTCAGAAAGAGGTACGCTCTCTCTCTTCTCAATTACAAAATACGTTCAGTATATCTGAAAATGTTAGTTTTATTTGAGTGAAAAGATGTAGATATCATTACAAAACTGAATACCCATAATCTCTATGTGAAAATGTTTGTCACTGCAACCTTCCGCGAATTTAGACAATTTTGTCATGTATGTGCATTGCTTACAGTCCTTTGACCTAGATTTTGTTTGGTAACGTATCCATTTAAGTGATAATGGACTTACAAAACACAGGATATTGTGAAACTCTGAAACCATCAACATTGTTTTGAAAACAACACGATATTAAATACATTATTTGAGCAACGGACTTGTACTCACAGCTAGATATTTTTTATCAAATATTAAATTTCTTTCAAATGAAACTAATTTCTTTTTAACAACAACAGGGTTATAACGTTCTGGTGTGCCCTGTCGCTGACAGATCCGGGGTATATTTGTATTGAATCAGACATATGTAGCTTTTATATAGAAGATCTTTTTATATTTAAATCATTTTTTTAATTTACTTTTCAAGTATGTATTTCTAATATTAATATTTGCAACAAGATTTCAAAACGATTTTTTTGCATAGAATCATGATCATTGTATTTTAGATGCTTGTAATATATAATAAATATATATTTGACTAATAATTTTACAATTATAAGTTTGAAATCACCAACCCGCCTTGAACAAGCGTGGTGATTAATGTTTAAACCTTCTCCATATGAGAAGAGGTCTCAGCTTAGCAATGGGCTCTGATAGAATGATAACGACTAAAGACGAACTAACGATATGTTTACAGTTATTTGCTAAGTTACGTAATCTTCGTGAAGGTGTTGAACCATTGTTGGAGAAGATTCAAATAGTGTGTGGTGAAATGGATGTCATAGAAAATGTACATATAGTGTTGTACGCAGCGGCCATTATAAGGTCAGTCAGGATTACATTCAGCCAATACAAATGCATTCATTCAACCATTCATTCACTTATTAATTAATTAATTCACACATTAATTTTAATAAGTCATTTTTAATATATTTTATTAATAAAGTTCCTTCATGGTTCAATTGTTTTACGACTGAATAATAATAAGTATCGTTTATCATATAAAGACTTACCCTTTTATAAGGTAGGTATATAACTATTTTATTTTTTAGATTCGACGAAGAATCAAAGAAGTATTTTTGAATGTTCGGGGAACCTTTTGTTTGGCCAAGCAGTGTAAGAAACTTAAGGTGAGTTATATAACTTGGCTTCTTGGTTAAAAAAGGCCTTTTGACGTAATTTTTTATTAGCGTCCCTGAAATTATAACTTTTTCAGTGATTATTGATTTTGATATAAAAAAAACAAGATAAAATTAACACAAAACACAGATCTTACAAACGCGAATGAAACGATATGTAACATGTACCAAAAAAGATAAAATGATTTCTAAAGTTAAATTAGAAGATAATTTAGGAACAATTTCAAACGAAGTATTTTATGATAACAATAATTCTAAAATTTGTTTTCCTGTTACTCCAAAATCAGAAGTATTAATCATGAATACATACGATTATCTTATATATATATATATATATATATATATATATATATATATATATATATATATATATATATATATATATATATTAAATATGATCGTTATTTAGTTAAATAAAAAATATAAATGAAAATAAAATATCCTCAATTATTTCGCCAAGAAGTTTAAATCCAAGAATCAAATTGAGATGTTCTCATTTTATTAACGGTACTTTAAGCATACTAATTTGTGAATATTCATAAGGGGATACCATCAGCAATATTTATTATGAATTAAGTTATACATATAAGTATATACGAATATATATTAACCCACTTTTTATGTATAAATAAATCAATATACGGGTTAAGTATTATGGTCACGTGCTTTGAATTTTAATAATAATTATCATTAAAACATCTTGCCAAACATTTCAATACACATAAAATTAAATTTTATAATAAGTGCCCAATGTTGATTCTTGCTTAAAGACAGCGTATATACTCACTGAATGTTGAATCTCATGTAAGTATTGCAAAGTTACATGTAATAATGATCAGTTTTTGTGCGTTTATGGTGATAAATAAATTACTCCATCCATTAGGACACTGAAGGCAATTATTTTAAAGACGAATTATGTACATATATACAAATTATTGTAGTATTGCTTCAATTTTAATACAAAAAAATATGTTATGATTATTTGAGCGATATAAAATAATTTTAGATACATGTAATTAATATAACTTGAAGTTAACAGCTGTCACAAAAAAATAATAAATACTCTTTTATTGACCAAATCAGAATAAATTTATTTTATATTTAATAAGACCGTCAGCTGAGAAGTAGCACCTCAAGTCGATTTATTGAGTTTTCCCGTCCGAATTTCTTATCCGGAAACTCGAGATGTTAAAATTGGAAGAATAAATGAATAAATTAATGTTATATGAGTCTTCTCAAATACGCTTTATAAAATAATTGTACATTTTATTGAAGAGTTTAAATATCAAAGTTTCTTATTAAGATTCTTACGATTTGATAATTCCAAAAACTTAGTTGGTTCTCTATCTATCTTTTTCTCTTGTTAACCACCGCACCGTAATGAAAATAGTAAAGGCTGGTCGTTTCTGTTCACTGGTGACTATTACTTTAACAAACTTTATTAAATCTCGAATCAAATGAATTCCCTAATCTCTGTAAAAACTCGTGATAAATAATGTATGTATAAATAGTATTGACTACAAGATTATAATATTGAAATATAGCTATCTTATGGGTAGATAATGCACTCCCTTTTTTGCATGTATGATGTTCAAGGAAAAAAATATTATGATGGGAGAGAAAAATATTATATATAAAGACATAAATTATAATAACTTTAAAGGCAAATAACCAATAAGATATGAACTGGCTTTAACTTAAATATGAAAATCAGTTCGAATTGCACCGTTTTAAATTATCCTCTTTAATCATATCTGCTCCTTTTTCTGCTGTAGTGATAGTTGGTATATTTGTATTTCCTCTGACTATACAAGGCATTATAGACACATCTATTACTCTTAAGCCCTCAATACCGTAGACCCTTAATCTAGGATCGACAACAGCATCTTTATCAGACGCCGGGCCCATTTTACAAGTTCCAACGGGATGAAACAGAGTTATAGTATATTCAAAAAGTAAGCATTTAAAGTAATCATAAGATCCCCAAATAGAATCTTCGCAATTTTTTACAGGAGTTTTAACAAAGTGTGCACCATTTTCTTTGAATGTTTTGGTTTCTTCTAAACCAAGAAGGTAAAGGAATCCTTCAAATAAAACGTCAAGATCTTCCTTAACTGTGAAAAATCTGGGATAAATTAAGGGTGGTGCATTGACGGGATCTGTATCATTTAGTAACACTTTGCCTCTGCTTTTTGGTACCAATAATATAGCTTTTGGTGAAAGTCCATTATAAAAAGAAATGGGAAATACGTTACTTGCCAAATAATTTGGAGGGTCAGAATATAGCTCCTCGACATTCACTCCATCGAAATGAATTTGAATATCAGGTGCATTTTCACGTGCATATTTAGTTTTAAGAAAACCAACACTATTAAGAGTGCTAGTAGTTGACAACGGTCCGTGTTTTTTGGGTTGCTGTTCGTAATACTTTTGTATTTCTTGAAATAAAACCGCGTCGCTTACGTTAGTCCATGTTTTGTTTGTCAGAGCGAGGACGAAACCGTTCGCTGTAACATGGTCTTGTAAATTATGTCCCACTTGCAGATCCGCAACGACTGGTATATTTAAACTTTCCAAGTATTCCCTAGGCCCGATTCCAGATAACATTAGAAGTTTGGGCGAATTTAGAGATCCAGTACTTACTATCACCTCATTTTTCGCAAAAACATTGTAAGAAGTTCCATTTTTAACATAAGTAACTCCTAGTGCCCTTTTTGTTTTAGGATGTATAATTATTTTTGTGACAAATGCGTTTAGAATTATATCAATATTTGATCTTATATCTCGTATGGGTTTGATATATGCTACATTAGCAGACATTCTTCGTCCATCTTTTGATGTAGAGTAAGCTATGTTTGTCCCGACGTTATTTTCTGCAGTTAAATCAATGAGTGGTAGACCCGACTCATTTAAAGCTTTAACTAACATAATTGTATTTGCATCAACATAAGAGTATCTTTCAACATTCAGTGGTCCCCCTACTCCGTTATCTATGTTATTAGATTCAAAATCACGATTGTTTTCCATTTTCTTAAAATATGGCAGCAGCTGGAATTGAATGAATCACTATTAATTTAATTTTTTTAAAATTCAAAAATTTAAAAGGTTATAATTATAAATTACCTCATTGTAGCTCCATCCTTCGTTTCCTAATTCCGCCCAGTGATCGTAATCGCGTCTATTTCCTCTCATGTAAATTATGTAGTTAATAGCACTCGAACCACCTAAAGTCTTACCCCTGTTGTTAAACTTTATTAATTTTTACTATTTAATAATCAGGTAATAGTTGCTAATTTTAAGTAAATTAATGATCATTACCTGGGCCACTTGCACATGTGATTCGTCATGGATCTACAAGTTAGTTCTTCTGGCTGTGTATTATAATTCCAGTCTATATTTGATCCTCCAAGAACTCTCATAGCCGCTGGCATCATTGTTATATCTGGTTCTTCAGACCCAGCTTCTAAAAGAAGTATCTGTGGAACATATATGTATTCAGTTATTTATTTAATTTTTATTAGTAAGTCGAAGAATGAAAATTAATACGAGATAATATATCATAAAGAAGAGCTTGTATATTGTAGTGTATTTTTCACTAATATTATTATTTTAAAATTACTTAGGACAAGTATGATATAAAAAGTCCTTGTTAAGTGAAATATTACAAACTTTACCTTCCATGACGTTACTTCTGAAAGTCTATTCGCTAAAACACAGCCAGCTGATCCAGCACCCACAATAATAAAGTCGTATTTGGAACATTTTTCGTTTTGTGCTATTTTAGAATTTGAGTTTATTGTTTTATGGGAAGATTCTTCAACTAATTCTGGTTCTTCCTGTTCATCAGTTTGGTTTTGGAAGTCGATGTAAGGAAATGTTTCATTAGGAGTTTGAAGGAGTTCATTTCCATTTTCAAGTATATCATTCTCAGTTTGGTTTATATCCAAACCACCTTCACAATTTCCAGTAGAGAAATAATTCGAATCGTTGGTATCATTAGAAATAATCTCGGAATTGAATTGTTTTTCACTTTCTTGTGGATAGTTTATAGTGTAATTCACATACCCAAAAAGCTGTAGAAGCAATGCCAAATATGTAAATCCAGTCGCTGAACATTGAGTTAAATTTGATTGCGTTTCTGAACATATGAGTGAAATGTCTGGAGGAACCCAAGCTGCAGACATTATATAATGACTCGTTTATTTTTCTTAAATGTATCTAAAAATATTTTAACACTTATATGGTTAATAGCGTCTGCTTTTAATTACAAACATTTAAATATTGAAACTGTATCAAAAAGAATACTGCATTTATATATAGATAAAATGTGTAATGTATTCTATATAGTTTAATTTAAATATTTTACTGCGACCTACATAAATAACACAATGATAAATTTGCTATTGAAAACAGTAATTATTTGTAATCTAAGAATGTTTTTCCTTTGGGCAAATATACCAGACGAGTTCTTATTGTTTAAAAATTGCATAATTGTATGTTAGCCTTCTTCTTTTTTTATTACTTAAATTAGTTAATATTCATTACTGAAAACATTATTTTGTGTTTCATGTTTTAAATAAATTTTTCTTTTAAGTATTTATTTATAGAACATTTATAAATGCTCATTTTTACCTAAATATACTGTAATATGAACAATTGAACAAGGGTAGTTAGCATAGATGGATTTAAATGTATAATTTAATATGACTGCTCTAATGACACCTTGCCATCCAAAACCCTAGCTCACCTGTCGCCAGCTAAGCATTTTGTGCCAGTTTTTGAGCAATTGCTCATTCCAGATGCCTTTAGTATTGCATACTCGTTTCAGTCTCTTTCCTACTTTAACAATCGGGCTAATCCTTCGCTTCATAGTCCGTCTTTCTTATATTGGACCGGTCTAACTTTTTTTCAGTCCAGAGGATATTTCTGGGTGTACGCACGAACATACTCACCAATTAACAACATTACACTCACGTTTTTGTTGTAGATAATCTTACAGTTCGTTCTAACCTGTACAGTTTTATTCATAAATATTCATATTTATTTAAATATGACAATATATACTTGAGTATTTAAATATGTATTCAATGGAAATATATACTCCTCAAATATACTCATAGCCCCAACTATTTGAAATGTAATAAATACGATAGCACCTGCTATTGGAAATATAAATAAATAAATAAATAAAAAGAAGATAGCAGGTCTGCAATTAAAATTGCAATAAATATACAGTAAAAAATACATCGACACGAACAGAATTCGAATACGTAACAAACACAAACAAAAAATATTAAAAAGTATAGTTATTTATAGAATGATATTAATCACAAAACATTCTAATTTATCGAGATTTAGTAATTACGTTATTGCTTTTTAACTTTGGCTCAAAGTCCCATTTTTAACAAACATACATACCAAATAGTGTTTGTTTTCTCAAAGGGGCAATCGAGCAGAATGCTTACTTGATAAAAGGCAGTCACCCTAGCAATAAGACATCTGCAACATAAGGAATATTGTGGATGCCTTGATGTAATGATGAAGACGGAGAGAAAAGAAAACCGACTCTCTCACTCCACGGACAAAACGCAGCCATTTAAGATTGATTCACGTCAATCTTCTGCGAGACTGTGGTACTTCCCCGATCGAGCTAGTTCATGTTTGAGTAACTGGACCACATCTAGAACTTACAATGTTATTTAATCTCTTATTAATTTTGTAATAAAAATAAAAATATTTTATGAAACTGTGAACTCTTATAGATTGATATATAACATGTCTGAGAAAATTCTTTTCTTATGTTTAAATAAATATAAAATATATCAGATATTAACAGAACTGATGTTCATTTTCTCTATTAAATTTATTGGTAAAGGTCAAAGTCAAAATAAGGTATCTTACTATCTATAAAGGTCCTCACACTCTGTAATATGTATGATACGATTCCACGTCAAGTCCTTTTTAAAGCATTGATAAGAAGCGTTCATCTAATTAAAAATGTAATCAGGATTATTAATAGTAATGCATTGTTATTTTAGCCTGAGTTCAATAATTTAGCCCAGTGATGATAATCATCTCTCTTTCTTCACATGTAAATTAAATATTTAAATACTCTGGAACAGTCTAGACTTGTAAAATTTTGTGAATTATTATATTAATCTTGAGCTATGAACAAGATATCTAAGGAGAATTTTAGGATTAACACTTATTCCATTTGGTGGACTGTCGTCATGGACCCGCAGATAATTTTAAGTATTGTGAATTCATTTAATATTTGATCATCTATAAATACTCATATTCCCTGCAATGAAAGTCACTTTTGTTTCGTTGCATTAAAATTTCAGGGGCATTACTGCCAATAAGGGTGGTCTATTTTTACTTTTTTGAACGATTTAAATTAATAAAAAAACAGCAAAATGCTAGACATCTACAGTTTGGCAAAGTAAAAATTTATATACATATGTGCTTGTAAGGAAATTATGACTTTCATTTTGCCTAATAACTATAACGTAATTATTAGATTCTTTTTATATAACATTATGAAGAACGTATGTATGTATGATATTTTTTTATATGTCATAAAGTATAAATTATTTCTTTCATTATTTTTTCTTAACACCTTTATATATATGTGACTCAATCAATACTAATTGTATTATTTTAATGTGTTATCCATATCCTTTTTTATTTAGTAAAAATTATTTTTAACGGCAGATTTTGAGTGGTTCACTGAATCCTTGTAATCTAAATACATATAATGTTTTAAAAACTTAATATCCTCCTAAGTAGGGTGGTTTTTTATTCTAAAACACAATGACAGCATTTTCTTATATTTTCTCTCATGCAGATTCAATACATGGAGGATTTTTGATTCACTACAACAGTGCTGTCAACTGACTGTTATAATATGTCGTATTATAATACCTACTAATAGTATTTTAAGGTATTTTTTATTTGATTTAAGTTACAATTGCCCGAATTTCCGCCAGAGTTATCCAGGTTTTAAAGACTTGTTAGTATTAATGACATACTAAAAAATATTTATTAAAATGATACAACATATTTTCAAGTCGATATTCTACAAGCAATATTCTAATACAATATGTGTCAAAACATCAATTATAATACCCATTACTGTGAACATTTATTATTTTTTTTTTTCATTTTTAAAAAATAATATTCGTCAGATATAATTTCATATTTCTAAAAATGAAACACAATTTTATTCATTGACAAAGAATTTTTAATTGCACACGCTTTGGTACAATATATAAAAAAATAATTTCACTTATTAAGCCCAAGTTCCATACATTTAACATAATTTTGGATTAATAATTATAAATAAATAATTAAAAAATTTTTTACTAGAGTACAAGCTGTATCGTTTCATAAAGAGCATAAATATAATTTGAAATAGTGCAACTACATAATATATTTAGCTTAAGGTACGATTATGGTATAAACAATGATACCAGAATAATTTAGAAACTGCATATAGCATTGCTTTAATTATAATTCACAAAAAAAGTAAATAAAATCATTAACTATTCAGATCTTGCTAACAAATTGACTGTAATTTTTACGACATTTTGTAATGTGGATTGTTATAGCGAAGTTATCGAGTAAACCAAAAACTACTAACACATTAAATACCGAAAAATAAATTTTTGTTCGACGATTTAATTTAGTTCTGAAATCGTATCGTAGTTCTTATCAGTGAGAAAAAAATTCAAACATCGAAATTATGTTACTCATGCAAATCTTATGAATAATTAGTCACATTTCCATAAATGCCTCTTAATTTTAATTGATATTATACAGAACGATATTCACAAAGTAAATACTTAACAACGTTTTGATCTGTTCAAATTATACTTTAATAACCATATCTGTTACTTGTACCTGTTGTTGTTTCCTAGTTTATAAATTTGTATTCAAGCATGATAAATTTATTATTCTATACTAGTTTTTTGAACCGGGTGAACTCTATTCCGTCTTACAGACCATAAATAATCAGGTTTTTACTGTTTCAACCAATAACCATCAACCTATGTGTTATTTTGATGTATAAGCTATATTGTGGTAAAATTTCATTCAAATCCATTCGGTAGTTTTTACGTGAAAGAGTAACAAACATCCATACATCCATACTTACAAACTTTCGCCTTTATAATAATAGTAGGATTCCCACCACCTTAACCCCTTTAAATCCCAACACCCAACATATTAAACTAATTTATCATAATGATTGCAGAATATTTGAATAATATTGGTAGAATTATTATTTTAGTTATAACATAGTATCAACTATTTCCAATAGATTCTTTGTTTTAAATTTATGAATGTAAAAAAATTAATAAACTTAAAAATTTATTGACCTTGAGATGCTCTGAATATATTTAAAGCTATCTTAATACGAATTATGATAAAAAGAATTGATTAATAACTAATAATTGAGCTCGAGCTAATTAATCATGTTTTAACAATACTTCTTGTACAGTAAAGTATAAAAAGAAATATGAAATAGAACTTAATTGTAATTGTTTCTCGTCAAATAATCCTCTTTTATCATGTCAGCGGCACGCTCTGCTATAGTAACTGTCGGTATATTTGTATTCCCTCTTACTATGAATGGCATTATAGAAGCGTCGACTACTCTTAATCTGCTTATTCCATAAACTCTTAATCGTGGGTCAACAACAGCCTGTTTGTCCCACACCGGACCCATCTTACAAGTGCCAGAAGGATGATATATTACTGAAGTATACTGAATGAGTATACAAGCAAAATAGTCATACGATCCCCACTTATGATCCTCGCAGTTTTTGACGGGAATTCGAACAAAGCGTGCACCGTTCTTCTGAAAAGCTTCAGTTTCTTCTAAACTAACAGCGTAACGAATTCCTTCAACCATGACGTCCATATCTTCCTTGACAGTATAAAATCCTGAATATATCAAAGGTTGGCCAAATACAGGATCAGTATTATTTAGTAAAACAACTCCACGACTTCTGGGAGTTAATAAAAGTGGGTTAGCGGCAAGACCGTTATAGAATGCTAATGGAAAAATATTGGCTTCTAAGTAAGTACTAGGATTTGCATAGAAATCCTCGACATTTCTAGCAGTAAAATGATATTGTATATCAGGTGCATTTACTCGTGAATATTTAGTTTTAATAAATCC